AGTTTAAATACCCCCAGCACCACCTCACAAGGCTGTGATCAGGTGTCTGTACCAACTGTAAATAACCCAGTTAATCTGAGCTTAGTTTGTAATAAATATGTTGGACCAATTAAGTGAGGATTCATGCAAGTAAAGCTGCCGGTGTTGCATCCGATTTACGTTTTCTCTCCACATCTCAAAGTTTCAGGTGCGACTCACTGAATAGATATCAACGGCAAGCAACACTGGAACTACGGAAAGTGAAATGGTTCAGGAAAGGTTAACGTTAAATGGTCATTGTCACTCACTGTGTCAATCTTTTGTCCGTAGAGCCTTTCTCGAACTTTCCATAGTTCCTGTGTTGCTGGCCTTAGATTTAAGTTCAGTGAGTGTGGCGCCCGACGGTTTGATTTATGAAGGGAAACGTGAATTTGACTGGCAACTGAATTGGATGTAACACTGGTAATAAGTGCCATGAACAGCTTGCAGAATGTAAGCATTTAAGGCCACTGCAGCAAACCCTGGGTGACCGGTGATGCAGTCTGCGACCTTGATGTCAAACTGAATGAAAGACAGATCAGAGAAATCCACTTTATTCATTCTGAACTCAGGGCATCAAAGAAATCAGGACTTGGGTTATATTGAATATGAACCTGCTGAACAGATAATTAGAAGCGAGCTGTCAGGGTTTTAGGGAATTAACTGAAAATAGTGGGGTGTAGTTACTCTTTAAAGAAAGGTTACCAAATGTGAAATGTCATGGGAATTGTTGCCATGCCCCTCTGTATTTACATGGGGAGAAAGTCAATCTGTAAGGCATAAAGTTTTTAACCCCCTAAAATCCCAGGCTTATTACATACTAAAGCTTATGCAGTAACTACAGGGACTTCAATTCAAACTGGTTGTGCCAGTCTTAGGTTATAGAAGTATGTGATAAAACTTTGGCCATTTGAAGGGTTAATCTTAAACTACACAACACAAACATTATAGCTGTGTGAATTCACTACACACACTACATTTCCCATAGTGCCATAGCATCTTTCCTTTGGATGTTTTTAATTTCCAAGAAAATCAAAAGGAAACTGGTTTTAATTTTGAAGAGATCTGGCACTCATCTCAGAGACAACTTCATTTCTTTTTAGGAGCCTTTAAGCTTCTGTGGTTAATTCATGCCTGTGATGTCATAAAAGTTTCACACTGGTGAGCGCATGCAGTTCCACATTAGTGGCCTTGAGAAACACTATGTTCACACGCTATGGGAAGACTGGAAACGTGAGTGTGCATGTGTGTATTTTTACTGCAGGGTAAAAATTTTATTATTGCGTTATATGTAGCTGAGAGACCCCACTCACTCAGTTACAAGATGTTACAAACAACCTCAGTTGTTTTATCTGTGTTTTCTTATTTATACATATTTGACAAAATTCCTTTTTATTGTATCTGTAACAATTATTTTTGTATTTGTTTTTTTATTTAGTACTATAAAACAATATTTGTACCTAATGTTAATATACCATTTTTACTTTGATGACCAATGTTGGAAATCTTGGGCCTTTATGTGTATAATCTTTGTGGTGGATTTGAATTTGTCTAATTAAAATATTACTAACACTGTATTTTGATAGTCCGCTGTAGATGTTCTGTCTGTGTTTAAGGAACGTTCAACTAAATACTAGAAACTAGACTGATGTGTTTGTGGACATATTCAATCTGTCACTCGCACAAGCTTTTGTGCCATCCTGCTGCAAGACCACCACCATCGTGCCCCTCCCAAAGAAAAGCGCTGTAACCTGCCTAAATGACTATCACCCCCATGGCACGCACCCCAATCGTGATGAAGTGCTTCGAGAGGATAGTCATGACTCATATCCAGGAGACCATTCCGAACACTATAGATCCTCTCCAGTTTGCATATCGTCGGAACCGGTCCAGACGACGCAGTCAACACTGCCCTTCACACAGTCCTCACACACCTAGAGGGCAAGGACACATATGTCAGCATGCTCTTTATTGACTATAGCTGAGCATTTAACACAGTCATCCCACACAAACTCTCAGAAAAGCGCCTCGCCCTCGGACTGACACCCGCCGTCTGCAACTGGGTGCTGAACTTTCTAACAGACAGGCCCCAGTCAGTCAGAGTCGGCAGCCGCACATGCAGCACAAGAACAGTGAGCACAGGGGTCCCCCAGGGCTGTGTGCTGAGCCCCCTTCTGTACACACTCTTCACGTATGACTGTGTGGCCTCCCAGAACAACACCAGCATCATCAAGTTTGCTGATGATACTACAGTCATTGGACTGATCACTGGTCGGGAACGAGACAGCGTAAAGGAAGGAGGTGGCTGAGCTGGTGGCCTGGTGTCATGACAACAATCTTTCCTTGAATGCAGACAAGACCAAGGACATGACTGTTGATCCAAGGAGGAAGCGAGAGCTGCACACACCCCTGTACATAGGTGAGACAGAGGTGGAGAGGGTGAAAACCTTCAGATTCCTTGGCATCCACATCAGTGAGGATCTCACCTGGTCTCACAACACACACCTCATCATCAGGAAGTCCCAGCAGCGACTGTACTTTCTGAGAAGGCTGAGGAAATTTGGCATGCCAGCCAAAATTCTCAGCACCTTCTACAGGAGTATGATCGAGAGTGTTCTTACCAGCTCCATCACGGTCTGGTATGGAAACTGCACTGCTCAGGACAGAAAGGCTCTCCAGCGTGTGATCAAAACTGCACAGTCCATCTCAGGAGCTGCCTTCCCCTCACTACAGGACATTTATCACACCAGGGTCATCAGGAGGGCCCACAACATAATCAGGGACAGTACACACCCCCAGCACAGACTCTTCACACTCCTACCTTCAGGCAGGCGCTACAGGAGTGTGAAGTCCAGGACTACAAGATTGATGAACAGTTTCTATTCACAGGCCATCAGACTTGTGAACACCTCACTCACTACCTCTTCCCCCCTCCCACTCTGAACTGGCTTAACTTTTGGCTGACTTTGCACTCAATAACTGCACCTTACATACACTGTACTGCTGCTGTCAGAATACTACTGTTCACATCTGTTACTTGCAACATGCACTTTATGAACCGCTGCTCTACATACGCACATGTAACTTTAATTTTTCTTTCAACTTTGCACATATAACTGTACTTTTTTACTTTTGTTTTTAGTGTATTTCTACTTTTCAGTGTATTTAATATATTCTTACACTCTATTTTTTATATTTATATTTATATTAGATTTTATTGGTGAATGGAGGAACAGCAAAGTAAGAATTTCATTGTACAGTGTAACTGCCTGTTTCTGCTGTGCATATGACAATAAAACTCTTGAACTTGAACTTATCCATACTGTGATTACATACTCAGGCTAGGGCTGGGCGATAAAACGATAACGATAAGTATCGCGATATAACTTTTCCTCGATAGAGCGATAAGACAGGTTCGATAAATGTTCGATATAATACACCATTCTCACACTCCCACGTTTTAGCGAAAGCTCTGGTGGCGTTTTCTACTGCAAGGAAAGCGACACTACTCTGCTGTCGCCAGGAGAGGGCGCACTTCCGAATTTTTCGACTTGATTAGAGAGGGAGGGGGCCACGAGTAAAAAAAGGGTCGCCAAATATACTTTAGCAACGGCTGAAATGCGGAGTTATACATTCCCTGTCTGAGTGGATGTTATCGGCGATCTGTTCTCCTGTGACCGAGTGAGGAGGTCAGTGATGTAACTGTACTGTCCTACAGCGAACTCACCTCTTTCCATGCATCCTAACAACTTTAGCGGTGTTAAATCACGTCTGCAGCGCCGTGTTACAGCGCCAAACTGTCATATTTTAGTATTAGTGCATTCTCGAGCAACGAAAGTGAAAGAAAGAAGTGGGTTCATGTTCGAAAGTAAGCTGAGGAAGCTGTGAGGCACTGGAGAGCGGGAGAGCGCTATCTTTCCAGGCTAGCTGTTTTTAGCTGCTGGCTAACTTGAAGCAGCGCTCCGGCAAAACACGGTGAATTGATGATACAGTAGATCAAACAAGACACAAAATCACCGCTTTCAGTTTAAACGTACCTAAAAGGAGGACTCTGTGACTGGTGTGAGAGATTCACACTGCAGATAATGCTTTTACACAGCGAGCGTCAGATACACTGCGGTTCACCCCTTAAACTACTGCGATAGCATAGAGAAATCCAGTCGTCTAGCTGGTGTCTGAATACTGTGATCTGCTCTGACATGGATGTGGTGGATGTGGTGGGAGTGACAGCAGTGACCTACCGAACCGAGTTGACGTTGTTGAGAAACTAAAGAGTTTAGCGCTGTTGTTGGCCACTTGTTCAGCATTTGTAGCGGGGTAGCCGAGCGCTCGTCACCAGACAGCTAAAAATAAACTGTTTTCTTTCTCAAATCATGACTATTACAAAAATTGCAGCTGTGCATTTCAAGCTGATAAAAACAGCTCAGAAACTTTCTCCCACTGTCCCATGACAGATTAGTGAAATGTTCCACTGTTTGGTGAGTGTTTGTCAGGATCGGACCGTAAGTGATAGTTTAAAACCACAGTTAACCACCCAGGAGCAAAATCAGCCTTCAAACGTGAAAGAAATCATGATTTGACATTTATCGCTATATGTATCGATATCGAACGATATGAATTTTGTTTATCGTGATAACGTTTCTGGCCATATCGCCCAGCTCTAACTCAGGCTATGATAAATCCATGTTAAATCCAGGTTTAAATACTCAGACTGTGATTAATCCAGGTTAAGATACTCAGGATGTGATTAATCCAGGTTTAGATACTCAGGATGTGATTAATCCAGGTTTAGATACTCAGGATGTGATTAAATCACTTTTAAACACTTCTGGTGTTGAATTTAAAAAACTAATTTATTAAAGTTTGCAGTTCTAGTCGAGGTTTTAACTGCTAGTTTGGGCTTTTACAGAACAGGAAACTCCACCTCTGCAGCCTCATAAAACAGTCATCAGCACTTCAGAGTGAAACAAGACTGAAGAGTGAAGACGGCAGCAGTGCACACTGTGGTTGAAATCAAACTAAACAAAGGCTTGAACATGGATCTGAGGCACAGGATGCTGAGAGCTCATCTCATTTTATTGTTCGGTAAATTATATTTATTTTTTCAATTCCATTATTGTTTACAATTTTCAATTTGTTTTTGACTGTAGTAAATCATTTACATGCTGTGTCTGTAGTTTAGTCTTACAGATGTATTTTGTTGATTTTTATAGTAAATAATCTTTTTGATGAGGCTTTTTGATTGCTCACTCAAATTACTGTACCTTTAATATAGCTTATGATACTAAAACTGAAAATTTATATCTGAACAGTGAGTGCCCACTTTTTCCAGATGTTCTGGTTCTGGATGTAAAACATTGTTACTTTTTTCCATGAGCATTTTCAAAAAATAATTATAAAAATAGTTTTAAGCACTTAACCAAACCAAACAGCCACAAGATCAATCTTGGCATTATCAAAAAAAGTGAAGTACAAAAAAGGTTTGAAAATTTTAAAAAAATGCAATGGTACATGATACCAAACTTAATGTTTTTAACATCAGAATGAACTACATATTCCACAAAGCACTACAGATGTTTTCAACAAATGACTTTTCCTCCATTTTCAACCAACTTTTGCAACAGTGTAATTTCTTTGTAGTAGATATTGCTGGGCTTTAATTGTTATATATAGTATGGTTTTACCTACATTTAGTATTCAAATATAGACCATAAACATTTTCACACCTGCTGTGGCAGCATGCTTTAGACTTTAGATGATTAAGTTTAGTTTTTAAGTTTGCTGTGTTTCTGTCGTCATCTTTGTAACGTACATCTCAGCTGTATCATTTTAACTCGGTTATGCTCTATAGTAAAGGGTGCTGCAGTGTTGGTTGTGTTTATGTGAACCTTGGTTGATTGCTTTGTTTTGTATCACCATGATGATGATGCTGATGATGAATATATAGTGCAGTGAGGTTATTTGTGCTTTAACCTGATATTATGACACTGTGGGACATTTGAAAACTGTATTCATCAAGCCTACTCACTTTTTCACAGGCCTACTCAAAACTTTATTTCTGCCTACTCCACTGGTTTACTGACGAGTAGAAACAGCGAGAGTGCCCCCTTCAGGATGTTTGCAATCAATTTTCTATAGCATTTATCAGGCTCATTTAATAGAAAGTCAAACTATTTGTATTTTTTATTGACTACATAGTATAAACATTATTGGGCTGCAACAAATGACTGTTTTTATAATGTATTAGTTGGGAAACTAAAACCAACCAAAGGCACAGCAACAGATTTCCTCCACTGCTCCTGAAGAAGGTGCAGAAGAAATAAAGGAACAACACAAATCTTACCATCTTATGTCCTAGATAATAAGGGAAAATAAATTACACTTCTGCGTGGTTGATTATATTAATGTAATACAATTTGATATAATAAATCACACACACTAATAGTCCAGTCATCAGCCATGTTGGACGTAAAGCAGCTCATCACACGTAAAAGCAGCGATAACCATGCATGCAGTGTTGGCACTTTCATAAATACATTGTCATCAGTCAACATTTAAATACTGTAAAAATCCACCAACTGTTCTTAAGAAGAAATTTCTTCTTAAAACCCACTTACGCAGTTTTTACGAAGATTCTGACATTCACCTGTGTTTTTTATTTGAGATTTGTTCTTAGGTAAGAACAGAATCTACACACACTCAAGAGCACAAACAGTGTGAACAGTTCTGCACTTTAAGAACACTGCCATAGACTTTTTCTTACGACCTTTCTCAAGAAAAAAATTGAGAAAAAACCTAGGAAGATATTGGTATATGAGGCCCGTTGTCGTTAACATGAAGAGTTTTCTTATTTTTTGATTTTTTTAAATCGTGCACGACACTGTACTGCAGTCTACAATTTCTGTATTTCCCTATGTTCAATAAATGGGGAGCACAAATATGATTAAGCCAAGTAATCGATAACATGATTCACTGCCAACAATTTTTTTATTATCAGCATTATCGACCATAGTAAATAACAGCACTTCATTTTGGTTTAATGAATTAAAAAAAAACTTCATATACATTGCAATTAAAGATATATGCAAATAATTTTACTGACTATAAATTGACTTCTAATTACACAATTGTACTTTTTAAAAATAAATGTAAAATGAATGTAAAACTTGGTGTATTTTCATGTACAGATTATTTACTGTATTTATAAAAAACAATTCTGACCTATGATACTGCTCCGTCACCGTGAATGCCTGATGGTGCCACGTACATACAACTGAGGTAGCTTCAAAGAGTTTAGTTTTCCTTACTGTTTCTGCATCTTTTTACACCTTCCGTTTATTTGATATTTGAGGCATCTGAATAATGCACTGAAAAAGATCAATCAAAATGCTGAACCTGTCATGGAAACTTTAATAATTATGAAAACTGAATGAAAAGTTACTGTCTCACTGTGGCTGCTGGTTTAACAAAAAAATCCCTTCTTTGTTTCAGTAACCAGTATTTTCAGTGCTTCAGTGTTTTCTGGTAAGTTTCCTTTTCAGTGAATAAGTGGGTTCAATATGAATTACATACTGTAGTGGACTCATTACTGAACTAGCTAGCTACATTTCCCATTCCACCTAAAATGGTGCAACAGTTCTGACGCCTGAGGGGCCAGAATGTAACTGTTGATCTACTTAAGGTGAAACAGGAAACTTAGCTAGCTACCAATACATCAGCATACTGCTAACAGATTTTTTATGCTTGTTATGAAGAAAAGGATCATAATACATCTAAACGACAACAAACAGAGAAAATTTCCTTGGTGCAACCATCTTACTGGTTTTCCTTTGTTTGTCATAACACTCTGTTTGGAGTCTCTGAAAAAGCTGGGACACCCTAACCCTAGACAAGAACACGCAAAATGAAGGGGTAGGACTAAGTGGTAGGGGCGAGGGGTGACATGGGACTGGGCCTATGTAAAGTGACAGAACCACTCAGACGCTCGCAGATAAAAAGGGGCAAAAAAGACTTTACTGTTGGAATTGTCAACCAGAATCGTTGTCAGGAAACAGGCACAGGTCAAATCCAGTAAAGGCAGCAGGTAAAGACAGACAAACATAACAGGCAAAAATAATCCAAAAGCGGTCAGGCAAAAACAGGTAAGTCAAAATACAGAAGATCAGTCAAAACCAGAAAAACACAGCACAGGAAATAAACACTCAGTAGCTCAAAAAACAAGCAATACCTCACACTGAACTATTCTAAAAGCCCAGGCTTTCTGCTAAAGCTAATGAGAGGTCAACAGGTGTTACAGATTAGTATTCAGGTGAGAGAGATCTGTGATTGGAGCATGCTGGAGGGTCAGGAGTCATGTGATCTCCTGGAGGATTCTGGGAGTTGAAGTCCATGGAAACCTCTGAGCCAGAGGGATGCGTGACAGCCCATATTTCATCATTTCCATAATGTCTGAAGACTCCATGCACTTTAATAATGTTAAAATATTTAATGTTTGTACTTAAATTAAATTATATTCACATAAAGAACATTTCTAAATTAAAACCCTTAAATTGATGGCAAATGAATATTGATCCCATATAATAGTTATTTTCCAGTGATCAATAAAGAACACTATCAGTAATAAACTTTAGAAAACTAATAAACATTTCTGGGTTTCTATATACTAAAACAGACCAAAGTTGAGATCAGCCTGATGAACGGTAAGGGTCGCTGTTGTGGTAGAGTGGAGATCCAGCACAAGGCGATAAAGTGATGGTAATAACTGGGACATGAAGGATGCAGAGGTTTTGTGCAGACATATGGGATGTGGCAGAGCGGTCAGCGCCCCTCAAAATGCAACCTTTGGTCAGGGAAGAGAGCCAACATGGCTGGATAATGTTGGATGTAGAGGAACTGAGAGCTACTTAACTGAGTGTTTACATGGCGGATTTGGAAAGGAGAACTGTAGCCATGAAGAAGATGCTGGAGTTTTGCTCAAGTAGACCTTTTTGCAGTAGTGCACTGTTATAATAGTTTAACAGTAATATAGAGTGTTTACAACATTACTGGTCATATTTCTTTAACAGATGTCCCACCCCCCACGTTCATCTTGAACTCATCACACTCTACCGTCTCACCTGGGGAGGCTGTTCGGTTCAGATGTACCTCTCTGAACACAACCTGCATCTCTGCAAACTTCTCTTTGTACAAAAATGGGGAATCAATAAAAACTGAAACAGCTGAATCTTTAGCGACGTTCGATTTGACTGTGGATTCCTCACATCAGGGCCTGTACAGCTGTGACTATTCATACCACGGAAACAACATCACATCACCTAGGAGCAGCTCGATTAACATTACTGTGGGTGAGTGCAAACACCACTTGAAAAATCATCTTCCCACAAACTGCTTCAGATTTTGAAGTAAAATAAGTAATAATAAAAAAATATTAAGTATCTCTATTTGGAAAGCACTTAATGTTTATGTTAATGCTAGCGCAGCACTATCACTCACAATACAATAAATAAAAAAAAAAATTGCTCTCAGAACCACACAATTCTGAAACAATCATTAACCAACTTTCAACTACTAGCCTGCAGATATTTTTTGTCTGCTTACCCTTCTCCAGATACTTTCAGGACAGCGACTGCAGAAAACTACAGACAACACATTCAAACCTAGTGCTTGGTAAAAGTTATTCTGACCTATTGTCCTTCACTTACACAATCTATTTCATAATTGTCTTCTTTTACTAATTTCTACACTTCAAAGTGGATTTACTGGGTTAAATAATCTGTCCATTTGTATTGAATGATGCAAAGTCACTGCTAGTGAAAAGCTAGAATATATTCAGCTCCCTGTTTGTATTTGAGAATCACAAGACTTATAAGCCCTAAATAGAGTATAAGCCCTCAGTCTTGATATCTAATGCATTAAAAACACAACCAGACCTGATAAAAAGGTTGCACTACGTTAAATATTGGTGTGAAAGTTTAATCAATATGATACTACAGTTATCCATGGCCAGGAGTCCAACTGGCCTCTCTCTCTCTCTGGGTGGGTACAAACTTTAGGTATTTAAACCCTATATTTAATTAAAAATGGTACAAAAACAACATATCAAATGTTGATTTTTTTAATATACGCCCATATGGAGCAGATGGTCCTGGTGGAACATCTCACAACTAATTTAATAATAATAAATTAATAAAGTTAATTGGCAACAGGTCAGTGGCATGATTTTATAACATGATACAAACAAAGCATCCCAGAGAGTCTTTCAGAAGTAAAGTTGGGGAGAGTTGTGAAAGACTGCACAGGTGAACAGTGTAACAATTAAAAAATAATGTTTCTCAACGTAAAACAGCAAAGAACTTATGGGATTCATCATAACGTAGTATCAGTAAAAGATTCAGAGAATGAGCTGAAATTTTAATTATGTTAAAATATTTAGCATTAGTATTTCATTAAATGTTGTATTCATTTAAAGTTTGTTTTTGGCAAATGTGTAAATTTTCATGCTAAAAACCTTAAATTGGAGACAAGTCCATCTCTCACTCTGTCTGGGTGGGTAGGATTACCCCCAAAACCCACTCAGCGCAGCCCCAGCATCTGTTAGCTGTGTCAGTATTGGCAATTTGGATGTGTTCAGAAGGCAAAGCATATTTCTTGCATAATGCCATTATGAAAGCAGATTCCACTGACTCTGCTTGTTCGGCCACCGATCATTTTTCTCCGCTTTGCTTCTCACTGGCGGATTCCTCATTTTTTGTGGAAAACATTCTGCTATCTGAACACAGCCTTAGTGTTCTCCTCCAAGTGTGTTCAGCTGTCCAATGAGTTTGTGTTAGCAGTAAATCGAAAAGATGCTGTGTCTGGATTCACAGAGGTTAGAAGAAGCAAGAGTTAGGCTTCACACTCTTAGCACTGGTTGAATTGTGTGATTGGGAGAACTTAGCTGAGGGGTGGAAGTAGACATGGCTAAATTGGGGAGAAAACTGGGGGAAAAAAATTGGTGTAAATAGGCCTTGACAGATAAAATGATGTGCATTGCTCTGCAGGTAGTGGAGAACTTTGCTTGCTTAATTTATATTAAATAAGTATTGAGAAGGTCACAGCGCATATCACAGTTAAATCATATGGATTATCTGAAAATTTCTCATGGTAAAAAGCAGTTCTGTTCATTTCTCTGTTGAAAGTAAGACATGTCTGATTCGGAGTGTCTGTAGTCAAATCTTGACTATCAGTCTGCAAATCTCTATACAAGTTCTTCTTGTTTTCCAGTGAACTTGCTGCAGCCCAATATCTCCTTCAGTGCTCCTGATGGATGGTTTGACTGGTGGCTTCAAGGGTCAGAGGTGATCAGGGGCCACAGCTTCTCCATCATCTGCTCCACTCAAACACAGCACCCAGGAAGCTCCTTCCACTTGGAGTTCAATGGATCCAGAAACAGAAATCAGTCAGCTATTAACCAGTCAATCACCTTCTTCTTTCCTGAGGCAGATTTTGTCCACCAGGGAAACTACAGCTGTGTTTATGAAGTAAACGTGTCTTCACGCACCTTTAACTCTCCTACCACTGAACTCTTGGCTGTCACTGTGAAAGGTACAGTAACATGCACCAGTCTTTGTTTGATAATTTGTTCTCTGTTTAAAACAAGAAAGTCTTTAAAGTCTTTCTTTTGCAGTGTCACCAATTCCCTTCATGGCTTCTGGAGTGGCAGCAGGACTGTTACTCATATTAGTGCCAATCATCTTTTTCTTTACAAAGAGATGTAAAAAACAAAAAGGTCAGATGGCTGTGGAGACAGATCATAGAGTTTGTGAGTACTTTTTGTTCTGAATTATGTTATTTAACAAACTTTGCTTTTTGTTCACTGGTGTTCACATAACATCTCACTTTTGTGTGGAGAAATTTGCTGCCTGGTTAGCAAATCACAGTTTTAGTATTGAAGCAAGTTTTTTTTTTCCACACAATCAATCTGTAGGTGCCAAAAACACATACGGGACTGCAAGAAGGAAGAATGAGATGGATGATGAAGATTATGAAAATGCAGAAACTATTTTTCACCAGAGAGAAGATTCAGATGTTTGTGATGTGGACTATGTCAATATGGAGGGTAATGTGGGGAATATGGCACTGGGCAATGACTTTGCAGGTAAACAAAAAGTTGTGCAGGACAGTATAAGGAATTACACCATTTCAACAATCAACCAATCAACAATTAGCTGTTTGCTTCTTGATAAAATAGATAGACAGATAAATATTATAAATAATATATGTGTGTATATATATATATATATATATATATATATATATATATATATATATATATATATATATAATATATACACACACACACACACATATATATATATTATATATATACATACACACACACACACACACACACACACACAGGGTGTGTCTCAAAACTAGTGAGTTCTCTAAGTAGCCGCTGTCTACACAGGCAGCTGTCTAAGTAGGCAGCGTTCCAGCCGTCA